TATCTCATAGTATTGTATACATGAGAAAAAATCCGATTAAGCCAACCTACGGCTTCAGTAAGCCACTGTTTTTCACCTGACAAAAGCAATTTCTATATTTATATTGACAAAAATAATTGTGATATGAATATTTTGATTTATTTAAAGCATTATATGTACAAAAAAGTGCTATCGTAAGAGTTCTATGAAACCCTGTAAGCCACTGCTGTTTCTTATGAGCACCAGCTGAATGTAAAATATTCATTGAATATAATGAAGATAGTTGTTCAAATAACAATTTTGATTTATTTAGGCCGTTTATTTCATAAGCAAACCAATTTTTAACATGATCGAATAGTGTAAAAAAAAGGGTGACTATAGTTCAATCCTACTAAGCCAACCTTCGGCTTCAGTAAACCACCGGATTTCACCGGACCAAAAGCAATTTTTATATTCAAATTAACAAAAATAATTTAATAATACATAATTATATTAATCATTATTAAAATTAAATAGAATTACTACAATGTTTTAAGCATATTAAATCATTATTTCATTTAGCTTGCTCGTTAAAATCCATGCAATTTCGTAAGCCAACAATCCAAGCACGACAAATAGCCCGACCGATAGATGGAATTGATCGATTAGTCTTATTATTCTAGTTATGTGGTTTGAAGCAAGAGGAGACATTACTGAAAATAATTAAAAGTTGAGGTTCTTTGCATATCCCTGCTTCAACCCATAAGAAGGTTTTGTATGCTGGTAAATAGGCCTCCCCTTGACATATCCTAAGAGGATAAGGCATGAGAAAGAAGATAGTGATTTTAGTTTAGATTTTTAAAAACTTCATTTCACTTTTATACTGTTATGTTGACTGTTAAAGTGAAATGGCGGAGGTGGTGCCCTTGATTTTGTCTTAAAATTAAAATTGCAGATTTATTCTTTCGTTTAACATAATTAACATAATTAACACATTAAAATGAGTCGTCAGAAGTTAAAATTTTTTTGTGACGCGGCATCGGTTCAATTCTCGTTAGGTTGCACTTCCCATAGGAACTTCAAGCTGCTAATTCCTTTGCAACCAGCAGTCATCAACGTCAACCTCAACACAAAACCATCATTTGTTTTGTCAAACTCAACCCGACATCCACTTTGTGTTCCTTTGTCTTCTACCATAAGTCAACGTTTTCTGCATGTAAATAATCAAAAAAGAAATCCAGATTTAACAATACTGAGTGAAGCTGATCACCAGTCACTTGCAGTTCGATTCGTCAGCGCCTGTCCAGAACCTGTGCAGCCATACTTACGACTGATGAGAATTGATCGGCCTATTGGTAAGTTACATATCTATTTTTTTTATTTTGATTCTGTACATATATTTCTGTATATGTTCACATACGTTCAAACTTATTTTGTTGACAAATGAGGTATCCAAAATAGAAAAATTAAAAAAACTTGTATTGTGTTTGCAAATTTCATTAATTTAATTTTAATAATTACTTAAAATAAAATTTAACCAATTCACTAATTATTATGCATTACTGTTTCAAATTATAATATCAACAGAAATCAAACAAATACTTCTTAATTAAGCTTTTTGTCTTACTTCTTTACACAGTTTATTCTTAGTCTTAGTGTCTAAGTAATGTGTTGTTTTTGGTGCATTTATAATAATTTGTATTAAAAACAATATATAGACAATAATTTATTTTAATAATATCATTAATTTGACACTGCACAACCCAATTTCAGATCACTTAATGCCTTCTGATCTTCAGCCAATTGATCTATTTATTTTAAGATGTTTTTTGAAATTATTTACTTAGGTAGAAGGTGTGATGCTTCTTATAAAATACTTGGTTTGAGTCTCTAAAATTGAAATGAATAAAATAACATAACATTATTAATAGTAGAAGTTTTGTTGTTGATGTTAATTATATTACGTTGTTGTGAAACTAAATGAAGTGAATAGTTATGTTTTTGCTCAATTTTTTTCTATATAGAATTTTTTTATCGGAACAATGTTTCTATAATCCATTAACACATTAAAAAATAAAAATAATTTTATAAATTAACAATTAGACATATAAGTATTAAGTTGTAAGTTGTAAATGATGCATATCTGACTCTCTTGAAGTTTGGTACACGCAGATTTGTAGGGCTATACAAATGTTCTTGCCATTCATGTCTACAATGAAAAAATTGGGTTAATTAATTATTTATTTCATGTTTGTCTTTTTTGTTTTTAGCAATATATCTTTATGATTTTCAATTAATTTAAAGGATTATCACAATATTGAATGTAGCATGGTCTACTGCTGACCAACTAACTAATCCATTCTTTCAGTAGTAGCTAAAAAGATTTTTAGCATTACATTGAGTGAGTTTTCTGTTTTTTTGCATTTCAGCAAGCATGAGATTTATTCTTTCATGAGCATTAAGATAAATATGAGTTACTATCTTATGTAGAGTGTGAGGAAAAGTATGCATTTTAGATTTATAAAAATCTCTGAGGTTGGATGACCTGTTACTTTACTGATTGAGAAATTAATTTTTATTCGAGTGAGTTTTGTAAAAGTAACTGGAGATATTAATAGTATTTTAAATTTTGTTTCATCTCTGTAGGAACATGGCTGGTGTTTCTACCTTGTGCTTGGAGCATAACTTTAGCTTCACCCGCTGGACAGCTACCAGATCTAAAGACACTAATATTGTTTGGGCTGGGTTCATTCTTTATGAGAGGGGCTGGCTGTATTATCAATGATATGTGGGACAAAGATTTTGACTCTAAAGTAAACTATTTTGTACATTTGATTTCAGTTGATAAATGTATTCTAAATATTTTGTCAGAATTAGTTTTAGTATGAATTGTTGATTACGAATATCATTTACAGGTTTTATTACAGACTTCATTTAAATTTTTTTCTTTGCATATCTCTATTTGGTTATAACAATTGAGTTATTACCAGAGTAAATTTCCCTACAACCATTAAGTAATAAAACCTCTTTAATTCAGTTATAATTTACATTTAGTTTTTGTTTTACATGTAGTTTTTAGTGATTAATGACACTGAAATTATACATTATTTCTTATTATTTTTCAAAAGTGCAAATTTATTTTTGCTTATTATCCTTCAAAGGTTGAAAGAACGAAATTACGTCCAATAGCTAACAACCAAGTAACGAGGTTCAAAGCATTGTGTTTCTTATCAATTCCTCTCTCCATATCCTTCTCAATCCTTCTAACATTTAACTGGAACACGTTAGTTTTCCATGTCAATTTTCCATCGTGATTCAATAAATGAATTTGTTGTTTGTATAGAATTGGTCTGGGCGTGTGTTCGTTGGCTCCGTGTGTTATTTATCCACTTGCAAAGAGGTTTACTTACTGGCCACAAGCCTTTCTAGGTGATGTTTTTTTTTCTTTTGCTATATTTTTTTAAAATTTGTACTAAAACAAAAGCAACAAAAGCTCCATTAAGCTACCATTATTGAAACAATAACCAAACTCTTATCAATGTTTTGCTTAGGTACATATTTTCCAACAGTTTTCAGGGTTTTACAAATCTAAATATAGCATTTTTTCAAACTATTATAAAGAATATATTAAATATTACAATTCATCTGTTTTTTTATTTATTGAAAAGTGCATAAGTTTACTTTATTTAAATTTTTATTCAAATTAGCATTTGATAAACATAATTTAGGATTTTTTGTTCCTTGAGCAGCAGGTAAGACTCACCTGGAAGTACAATGATTCAGTTTGTTTCTATGGTGTAGACAACTTTTTCTAATAGAATATATTACATACTTTAATCGATCGAAACATTGTACAATCCAACACAATTATTGGAATATAAATTAAATTGAATTTAATGAAAGTTTAGTGTGTTGATTACAGACTTCTCTAATGATTTTTACGGAAACTTGTTACAAACAGTAAAATGAAGAATGGTGTGTGTTACTACTATTAATTACAATGTAAGATTTTATGTTACTTCGAACCTGTTCAACTATCGTCTTCAGCTAAATGATCATAAACTCAAATCTTAGATTAATTGAAAGTTCCAACAGCTTTTTAATGTTCTTGGAAATTAATTTCAACGTTTTATAAATATGTCAACAGTAATTCAAAAACCCAGCCTTGTATTTATTTCGACATAATTTTTTTAAATTCAAACTCAATTTTTTTTTTATATAAACATAGTTGAAGAACATTTAAAAGTTTGAAAACTATTTTCATGCCTGAGTTTAAAGTGATGATCATGTTATGTTAAACAAGATTTTGGTTACTTATATTAGAACAGTAATTATTTAATAACTCTAGAAGATGTTAAATTAATCATTATTATTAAAAATCGACCTATCTAATTATATATTTATATATGTGAATAGCACTAATCCACTTTTTTGGCATTGCATTTTGTCAGGGATAACCCAAGGTTGGGGTATTTTGATAGCCTGGTCAGAAATATATGGCTCATTAACGTGGCCTACCCTAGCCCTCTATACATCAGGGGTGTTTTGGACCATGACATATGATACTATATATTCATGCCAGGTTTTTGCATTGTTGTGTCTTTGCTATTTAATCTGTTCTTCTATAAAATGCTTGACATTGTGGACATGCTTAGTTTAAATGTATCTCTTTTTATTTATCCGGTTAAGATTTATTTCAAAATAGATTTATTATTCTATTTTGATGTTCTTTTTGTTTTGTTCAAAGTAATTGTTTCATTAACTTAAATTTTTGTTAGACTTAAAATAGTTAGTTTTTTTATAATATGTTAATTTTCTTATTTAAGTTTTTAACATTTGTTTACTCATTTAGTTTAATTGTTAGTTGTTAGGCTTGTAGTCGGCTTATTTGGTTTTAAATAATAATAGGGCTGCACCATATATGAATCTTGCAAATCTATTTAAAAGTTGGATTTACATGCACAAATCTGATGAAGCTTAGGCTAAAATTTTGAGACAAAAATCTTACACAATTCGAAACTCCAGGTCATTTTTTGCCTTGGCTCGGTTTTGCCAGGGTTTTCAAAAATCGTAAAAGTTTGGCCATTACAGTCTTGATTAATTAAATAAATTTGGAAGACAAATGATAGCAGTATGCTGTTTAACAATTCAGCTTGCAGTACATGTGAAGGAAGAACTTTTGGAATGTTGATTTATTTAGTTAACATTCAGCGCTAGCTAGATTTGCATAATTCCATTTGATTCTATTTTAATTACTTTTTCTACTCTTTATTAGTACTTTTCTTCTACTCTTAATTGCTGGTAAACCAAACTTATCAGTGTAACTAACTAAAGCGATTATTCAGTTGGTATGTTATTAAATGAATGTTTTGTTCACTTTGAAAATTCACTCAATTGCCTGGATATGTAAAGCATTTGTGGTATTTTATTGATTGTCACAGCTGATGTTATTCGTTTGTTTAATTAAATTATTTTAAAATAGTTCGAAAGTCTATTAAATATTTTTTGCAAACACCAAATTTTGAAATCGTAAAATACAAAAAAATGATGATTTCAGTTTTCATGAAATTCAACACACATTTTATAATTTGTTTTCTTTTATGTGAAATAGTAACCATCTTTATAACATAATTTTTACTCTAGTTCATCATAAAGTTTATGATAAATAAATGCTTTATCCTTGATTTATAAATCCAAAAATCAGTTCAATGCTGTAACTTTTTTGTATCGTTTCCCCACTCACTCGTTTTAAAGGTTCATTTTAATTAACTACTCTGCATGGGTGATCAGATTGTTGTAACACGTTGCCTCCAAAAGCTGCCAGTTTTTTGCTAGTTAAACAGAATTCCAGTCTATGTTGTAATGTGTAGTGTTTTATTTGGAACTGTTTTAGAACAATGAAAAATAAAATCTGTGTTGGCATAAAAATGATTAATGGAAAATAATGAAAATTGTGTAAAATTGAAGGCGTTTGTTTCAACTCCCAGTTTTTTTAATTAAGTTTTTTGACCTGTGGCAGATCTAGACAACTGTGGTGGGAAGGACCAAAATTTTGAAAATGTTTAAATTTACACCGGGAGCAAGATTTGTAGTAGTGTGCTTTTTTTGGTCGATTTTATACATAAAACGGTCTTTTTTCTGACTTTTATTAAAAAACTGCTCACAACGGGAGGGACAGTGCTTCCCCTGCCACCCCCTAGATTCGCCATTAACAAAAACATGTACCATGATGAATGTTTGTTTCAGATAAGGTTGATAAATAATTAGGCTAAAAATTAATTTCTTTGGAGTTATTGTTTGCTTTTTAAAAAAATGTTGTTGGCAGTTACCAAATATTTTTTAAATATTTATGTTCACAATTAGATTTTTTTTAAATGTTACATTTATTATATGGTTTATTGGGAAAAAATAGTATTGAATTGTAGTATTTAAATCTTAACTTGTTTTTTTGTTTGTGTTTTAAAATAACATTTAACAGTTCAATAATTAATTTTTGTTATCATGTTTTGGTTTTGTGTTCATGCATCAAGTTGCAAGAACTTTTCCAGCTATTTAACATTATTTGAATGTCGTTTGTTTAAAAAAAGTAATCACAATATGTCCTATCAAAAAACAGCAAAACATTTATTAGTTTGCTATTTCTGTTTCAATAAATGGTAGCTTATTTTTTTGCAATCTTATACCATAAAGTTTTAAATGTAAATTAATTCTTGATATTCTTATTTCATTAATATTTTTTAGGTTTGGTGTTTAACTGGGGGGCCGTAATGGGCTGGAGCGCCGTCTGTAATACATTTCAGTGGGCCATGGTTTCTATGTATATAACTTCAATTGCGTGGACCTTACTTTATGACACTATTTATGCCTTCCAAGTTAGTGCTCTGACTCTCTGATTGCACACACACATAACTGTTCATTCAAAAGACTTTGTATTTATATATTTATTCTTGATTGAAAGCTAAATGTCCAGTCTTTAATGTCGATGAAACTTACTAATATTTTTTTTAAATGTTTCTCAGCCCTTTCCAAAAAAAACTGCAATTTGTACAGAACAGATACATAAGACTTGTCCTTTGCACAATCCATTTAAATGTCCTTATTCTTTGGCTTTAACCAGGACGCTACTTTAGCTTCCAAACAAACTTCACATGATTTAGAATTCACATTCTCCGACTGATTTAATGAAACAGTGAAACTTATATCTTATATGTAATCGTTCATTATTTTACTTTCTCAACATTCAGTCCAACCTCGGATTCACAATTTGAAAACATGTGTTTCTCTCTTGCTCTTGGCGTCTTTGTGAAATTTGCGCTTTATAAATAGCTGTTGTTTTTGTCTGTCCAGGAGATTTTTTTGATCTTACTCATTACTAATCAAAGTAGCAATGTTTTTCTTATAAAGACGCTAGAAGAATATATAGTGTTATAGATGATGTTTTATGAAAATTAAAATAGTTAAACTAGTGTTTGATGTCTTTTATAAAAGCGAATCAAAAGATATATTGTGATTACTTTAATTAGTTGAGGCTTAACTTCCCTTTGTTGAAGCAGCTACTTAAACGCATTATGATTTCATTTTCACATTATTTTAGGTTTGTGCATTTGTTTCACTAATTCTTTAGAGTATATTTAATGGCGAGTATTAATATTTGACGTTTCAAATTTTTCTGGTTTTCTATATTTGTTTAGACTAGCTTGCTAACGTATTCACAATTTTTAGAAGTTGGTAGTACTGTTAATGATTATTTTGCGACTCAGAACCACAGAATTTCAACGATAAGCAGTGATGATCAAAATTAAATTATTTTTGTATCAGGATATAGAAGATGATTTGAAAGTGGGTGTAAAATCTACAGCTATTAAATTTGGAGAGAGTACAAAGTACTGGCTGGCAGGTAGTACTTACATCATATCTTACAGTTAATTTGGATCTGATAATACAAAATTTTTCCTTTCAGGCTTTGGGAGCATAGTAGTAGGAGGATTGACAACGACTGGCATCCTATGCGACCAACCGTGGCTCTACTATCTGGGAGTTGCTGGTTTTGCAGCGCATCTGTCCCATCAGGTTACTTGGATGCTCCTTGCTCCTTGCAATTTGTTTAACTAGGCTTTCTATTTGTTTATTTTTTATACTTATTTTCAAAATTCTTTTTTCTGTCAGATGCAAAAAATGTTACTACATGCAATAGAACACAAATCAATCAATCTTCGTTTTGCGTTCAGAGACCCGGTTTCCCGAGGTAGGACGTTGTTTTCTTTGCCATCAACTTTTTGCGCCAAATTAGACGATCAGTTGTATCCATTTTATTTAAATTTAGAGCTTTCATGTCTTGCTCGATTGTTTGCGACCAGGACTTCTTTGGACGGCCTTTAGGACGTGTGCCAGGTACTTCAACATCGGCAAGAGAAGTTATGGCACTGTTTCCATTTCGTTTGACATGACCAAACCACCGCAGACGGTGGAGGTACTTCTCTTGCAGTTGCCGAAGGATGTGAATTGCATCAATTGTTGATTTTCCCGCTAGAAAACCAAATTGATAATTTCCGATTGTGATGCACGACGTTAATCTTCTTTCAATGATTTTTTCGACAATTTTCAGGGAGTGTTCTAACAGACGTATACCCCGATATGATGAACAGTTCAATGGATCACCTTTGCCTTTGTATAGCGGGACTGTCATGCTATAGTTCCATTCAGTCGGCATTGAGCAATTTCTCCAGATTTCACGGCAAAGTTGTAGTAACGTTTGGATACCTGCAGTACCAGATGCTTTGATAATGTCATTTGTGAGTCCAGAGGGCCCTGCTGCCTTTCCATCCTTCCTAGCTTTCAGAGCTTCTGTAAGCTTCTCTAAAGTGATGTCTGGAATCGGACCTTCGATGGGTGGAGCGTCAAAGTTAACATTGATGGGATTTGTTTCGTTTAACAGACGATTGAAGTATTTTCTCCATTGTAGCTTGATCTCATCTTGTTCAAGAACCATCTCATTTTTGTCGTTTTTCGTACATGAGGCACCAACTATGTCTTTTTTCGTACGCTTTGCTTGTTTTGCTATACGATACAGAGATTTCATTTGTTCACCTTTGCTTTTAGTGAGCCACTCTCTGCACTGATCTGTCCGAGCCAGTGCAACTTGACGTTTTGCATAGTTGTTCTTCTCACGGAAAATTTTATGGTCATCTACAGATTTTGATTTTTACCATTGCTTGTATGCAACTTTCTTTTCAGCTATTGCATTTTGTACACTGTCATTCCACCACCAAGTGTCACGTTCATGCTGACGTTTTGTACCAGTTTTCCCACAAACTGTAGTTGCAGCGTTCATTAAAACGGTTTTGTATGTACTCCAATCTGTACTGGCTTGCGATTGGTGGTCTAACTGTGTGGCGACAATCTGTTGAAATTTTTCTCGATGAATATTGCTTTTCAGATTCCACGTTTTGATTCTCCGAGGCATTTGTTTAGACTTATGTTTTGACAGTTCGACAACCAGGTATCTCACAAGGAGTCTATGTTGGGCGACATGGAGTCTATGCCGGGTATAACTTTGACGTTTTTGAACAGCCTTCGGTGTGGTTGCTTGACAGCAAAGAAATCAATTTGCGTGGCTGATGGCCCACTTTTGTATGTTATGAGATGTTCCAACCTCTTTCTAAAATATGTGTTCAGTAAACAAAACCCATGACTTTCAGCAAACTCAAGGATACGGTTGCCATCTTCATTCCGTTTTCCATAGCCAAAACCGCCATGTACGTTGTCAAAACCATCTGTTTCCTCTGCAACGTGGCCATTGAGATCAACTCCAATCAGGATTGTTTCAGATTTTGGTATTGTCGAGATGGTGTCAGAGAATGCAGTCCAGAAGTCATTTTTCATCTCTTCTGATTCGCCTGTCTGTGGTGCGTATGCAGAAAAAAATAATCATTGTTTGCTTTTCTATGCGAAGCTTGATCCACATGAGACGTGAATTAATCCTTTTAATATCCAGTACTTCTTGGGCTAGCGGTTTTCTGACAAAAATTCCAACACCATTTTTGGCCGTCTTTTGACCATTCCAGAATAGTTTATATTTTTCTTTGTCTGAGTTGACATGACAGACACCATTCGATTTCCATCGGGTTTCCTGAAGGCAGCAGATGTCAATCCTTCTACGCTCAAGCATTTCTGCGATTTCCATGCTGCGGCCAGTCAGTGATCCAACATTGAGCGTTCCAAGTCTAAGTACCATAGAGGGGCCATTCTGAATTTTTCTGCAACATCCCTCCGCTATTGCATACTTCCCAGGGATTCTTGGTACCCCTTGACCACTTAAGGCCTGCTGGGGACTAGGGGCCGTTGTTTTTCTTTGTGATGGCATAGGAATAATTTGGGGAAAAGTTTATACATCCGGCACCCATCCTGACGACAACCACCAGTTATAAGCGGTGGGCCTAGCCTTTCGCTCAAAAGCACGCAAGGCAGCGTGGATGCAGTTTTATGTCATACCCAGGACGTAGTATGAACAAAGTCACTTATGAATAATTAAATAACAATGTTAACTGCTTAATTATTAATAACATTATAAGCATAATTGTAAGATCCGAACAGTTGTATGTACCACATGTCATTATACAGTGAACACAAATAATAAAATAAAATTAAGTGAATAATGTATTGTACAGTAAAAGTTAGGGAAATAAAATTTTAAAAATTCTTTTTAAAAAAAGTAAATAAAGAAGGAAAGAAAATAAAAAAGGAAGGTGGAAGGTTTTTTAAATTTTACCTGTCAAAGTTGACATGATAAGAGAGTCGTTTAATTAATTTGATTATTTTCGCTTTCTAACATGGAGCCAACTACATGTATCAAAATTGGATGTGAAATTGTATTTGTTTTCAGTTGAATATTTTAAAATTTAGGTATGGTAAGTTGACATGATGAAAGAGTCGTTCAATTAATTTAATTATTTTCGCTTTCTAATATGGAGCTAGCTACATGTATTAAAATTGGATATGAAGTTGTATTTGATTTCAATTGATTATTTTAAAATTTAGGTATGGTCAGTAAACTTGAAAGATGGAAACCAGTGTGGTGAGAAGTTTCGTTCCAATCGTAACCTGGGTCTTATATTCTGGGGCATCATAGTTCTTTCCAATTTGATCAAAATACAAACGGATGAAAGTGAAGTTAGTGACAATCAAACACCTCAGAAGAATGTAAATTCCTAAACATTTTTCGTCATCTTTGAACTTTAACAAAATATTAGAGGAAGAAATTCAACAGGTTACGTCTTTTTTAGATGTGAATCTTCATTTACGTTTTTAAATTATTGTCAGTTAATAGGATAATTTTTTTATGTAATTAATTTCCTAAACTCGTAGCTTCTGAATTTTTACCTGAACCTAACAGTAAAACTTTTAACCGAAAGTTTTTATGTGTGTCAATTATTCTGTTATAACGTTCTTGGATTTTTTAGGTAAATTTTGCATTTTACATTATCAAACAAACTCATGATAAAGAGGTTGAATATTTTTGACTGTTTTCGAAATTAATAATCTCGACTAATAAAATTTTTTCAAAATCGTTGAATAAAATGAAATCTAAGATGTGTAACATTGCTCACTTAATTGACACTGATCTTGGTATATCTTATCGTGTGTGGAAAAGGAATGTACAACTTTACATAACCTTGTTTTTTGACTCATCCGAAGAAGTTCAAATGGGTTATTTTACTACGCTCATCATTTACGCATACAATATTTGTTCAGAAGCTTAAGTCGGATTTTAATATATCAAAAATTCGCGCTGATTTGCTAGAGCGAGGCAACGGGATTTTGTGTGTGATATCGTCATTGACTATTTTTTAAATTTTAATAGTCTTACGTTGTTAATAGCTACTAAAATTCTAAGACCTTATCTTGCCTGAATCAGCTCATGAACATACTTTCAATACGTTGAAGACCAATTTATTGAATGTGTGATCCAGATTGTGAGAAATTTTTAAAAACCGTATTTGTTTATACAGTCAACATTACTTGATTGTGGTACTAGCTACTACTAGCTTTTATGAATTAATTAAATTATATTCAGGCGGGAAATTTTTGGGAAAATTACCATTTATTTTTTGACGTTCATGTTTCCAACTTTAAATAATTTTCCTACATCATTTGAATAATTTATATTAAGAAAGAAATGAAGTAAGAATAAATTTTAAAAAAAGTAAATTCATGTTGCCATAAATTTAAATTCATGGATTCATTCTCTTGCCAGAATTTTGGATTTATCCTTCTTAAATTCATGTTATAGTAGTCGGCATTCCGGACTAATGACTAATTTTGTTTAAATAAAATGTAAAAACATGACTATAATGATACTCATGTTTCAAATTTTTGACAGCCGTGAGATTCGTGAAAATCTAGATAATATCAGAATATCTCTAGAAACTTAAATCGAATTTGTAAAGAAAAAGTTCACGAAAGTCTACAAAACATATAATAATCATTGTTTAAAAGCGCACTCTGATTTTTCAGGACAATAAGATGGTTAGTTTTAAAGTGCCTGCTGCTCTCTTGCAGTTATCAGGTTCGAATGCAAAAGATTTTTCTAGATCGATCTCTTGTTATTTGCAAATCATCCAGATTACTCTATCGTGAACTTTATGATGTACTGCTTTGCACATATGTCTGTCTGCGCATGCACTGCAGTTTAATACAGAAGAATCTTCACATTTAGCACTGTGTGAATTAAAACTTTCACTTTTGAGTATCCGCGTTGAGGCCGTCCAGATTTTCTTTGCATACGACAAGCAGCGTTTAACGCATTCAACTTAAGCTTTTTTGTATGTTTACTGTTGCACATAATAGCGGCCTTTTTTCTAAACTATGATACCTAACAACCTATCTTCCATTTTTGACCAGCACTTCGTTACGATGACTGACGGAGTATTTGTAAGTTTTATGTTTGTTTACAACGTGGCTCTTGTGGATTCACTTTACCTTCTTTCCATGGTAATTTTTCTAGATCGATCTCTTGTTATTTGCAAATCATCCAGATTACTCCATTTTTATTCATATCAGCCCTTATTTCATTTATTTCAAAGCCGTCTTTTATTTTCAGTTCCTCCGACTGGGCTCTTTCCATGAGGAACAAGTCCTTTACATATAATTTACATCATACTTTTTATGAACGGTATATTGGTTAACCACTTACTGAGCCTTGCAGTTTCTTGCCTAAACCTTGAACCAATCGTTCAATTCAACTCTTGTTTTCTTCCAATATTGGATCCCACGTTGTTAACTGTAGTCCAATGTTAAAAACGTGGGATCCAATAATAAGGATGGACACACGATCGATGTATTAAAGACACATGGTCCAATAAAAGGTGCATCGTCCAATATTGAGGACCAATATTGAATGGTATTACTTTTTAAGTTTTCGTTTGGTGGGAAGTCCAAACTTGTGCTGTGCCGTTAAACAATGATTACGTAGTGGGGAGGATTTTTTAAAAAGTTGAATGACTTTATCATCGTTCACCCTCGGTCTGCAAATTTTAACAATTCGCTTATGTAAATACTTTGTAAATAATCAAATGAATTTTTAACACTGAAATTTGTGTTGTTTTTGCGTTCGGATGATATATTAATTTATTAATCGTTCGTTTATTCGTCAATTTTATGACATGATTTTAATTGTATAATTTTCTGCATTAAATATTTATATACTCAACAATTTTGATTTTTATGAAAAATTATTCAAAAGTTTTGATTTACAATGATGTGTTGGGTTATCGACAGAAGAATTTAGTTCAAGCTGTAAAATGTTATACTTCTCTAAAAAAAATGCTGTCAAATGATTTATTCAAGTTTCATAAATAACTTTATGAAATACGTCTACAAATGTATTATCATTCAAAAACAGTTTGAAATGTAATTGTTTCAGTTACGATTTTCATCAATTTCATGTAATTATTTAAATTTATTTACCTAAATTCACTTCTTTTATTTCACACTTTGAAAGAAATTTGGTTCAGTGATTATATTTAATTTGGTGCGAAATATAAATATGTTCGTTGAGTTAAATTAAAAACATTTTAACATTTACTATAAATTAAAATCTGGTTTGTTGTGTCTGAATGTTCCAAGAATACAAGTCTCAGTACGAAGATTATGAAAGTATTACACTTGATATTGCTGAGATGTTTCATTTTAATTTGAAATTATCTTTATTCTAACTTTTGCATTATAACACAAGTTAGATTAAAGGTCGACTTGAAATATCTTTATGAATATTGGTGATGATATTTTCAAGAGGTTTCAATGTCATACACATCATAGTTCTTGTATTTCAGTCTTACACATCGTAGCTCTTTTATTTGGGTGCGTTAGTTTTCAGGCTTACTGCTAGATTAAAATGTTAGAGTATTTGGGTTTGTTTTTTAAATTTTAAATAATGATTATTTCATTAAAATGATGATACTCATGTGCAGATATATGTAGTTTATAGCATGACAACAATTAAGTTATAGGATCAAGAACGTGTTGAATTGAGTTTTGTATATTCTTTTTGTTGTAGTTGTGCTCAGAGATGTAATCAAGATTGATCTGTTGGGGCTAGGTGATATTTATAATGTAAGAATTTCAATCTTGGAAAGGTCATTCTATACGATTGAAGATGTTTTGGTTAAGTTACATGGTATTCAAAAAGTTTTTGTCTATAAATAACTTAACTAATACGCTAGTTAGATGATGTTGGAAGCTAATACTTCTAAAATCTGTTAAGGTGTGCATGTGTATATGAATTCTATAAACTCACTCTATAAGTCACTTTAGAACATTTAGTTCTGGTCTGTATCATATCATTTGAACACGTCGAAAGTTGTAGACCAGTTATTTGAATCTGTCGCTTGTTTCAAAGAATTTTTATCGTGCATGGATTGATTGATTGATTCATATATTTATTCATTCTTTCATAAAAACGCTTACTTTGAAAATTTAATTTTTGAAATGCTTTTTTGGTGATTTGTTGGTACGTTCGTTAGGGTTAGCAAAAATGCAAAAATTAATTTTTCTATCATATCAGCGTTTTTACGATCAAAAGCTCATAAGAAATATGTTTTTTTTGCGTATTATTCATTTGAGTGAACATGGTCCCACATATCGTATATGTATATATATATACATATACAATATATGGGACCATACATATATATATGTTGGGTGGAGATTATATTTAAAGTTTAAATTGGTTAATGCCAACAATTCGGTAGAATTAATACAATATTATATATATATACATACATATATATATATATATATATATATATATATATATATATATATATATATATATATATATATCGGTTGGTCGTATATATACTGGCAAATGTGTGTGTGCGTGTGTGTGTGGCATTACGCGTTAATACATGTGTGATAAGTGCCTTACTCTCATTATTATGTGGACTTAGGCGCATAAAACCTTGTGTGTGTTAAGGTTGGAGGTGAGTATGGGTATTAGTGTTGTGTATGAGTGAGTGTTGTGTATGAGTGAGTGTGGTGTGTGAGTGAGGAGTGAGTGAGTGAGGAGTGAGTGAGAGAGAGGGAGGTACTTATCATTATGGAATGCGAGTAATAAATACTCTTTTCTTGTATATGATTATGGTGATCAACGTGCCTGTTTCGTTTTTAAGCATTATTCTATTATTATTTCTACTTTTTTTATATGGCTAATCAAATAAATTAATAAATGCAAACGAAACTCGTTATCCAAATTCATCCGTTATTATCCAAGAAACGTTTAAAAAATATATAAACGTTTTTTTTCTGTGGTTATGCTGCAGTATATATTGATTATTATATGTATTGATTGCATTAAAGTATTCCGAAACATTTTCATTTTACTGGTGTCTTTAAATTTAAATATAGGCTATTACAATCATAGCTTTTATTCTAAAATATTATACCAAAATGTTTCATGACCAAAAATTGTAAATAAAATTTAGATAAAAATATCATTTTCATGAAAATGGGTTTTTCTTGGTAGTTTCTTCCTGTCTCTAGCTTGAACATTATTTAAATTTGAAAATTTTAATATTTTTCTGCTAGTTTGGTGTAATTGGTAGGCCGCGTATTAACATGTTTCAACAATATCCACTCAACCGTTCAATTTGAACGTATTTATAAAATTTGAGAATTTTAATAATCTGCTTAGTTATGTACTCAAGTGTTTATTATTGTTTCTCTATTTAAAATGTTATTGCTTTTCATTAATATTTAAAGATTTCTTAAAAATTATAAAAATAATAACTATATGTAAATTGTGTCTATTCTCATTAGCAGTTATTGTACCATTGAAATCTGAAGTGTGAAAACTCGTTAATTATTTTGCATCAATTTTGTTAATTTGATGTTAAAATCTTTGAAAATTCAGTTGACGTTTTTAATTCTTCTGTTGCTGAAGAGTACAGACTATTATTGTGTAGCTCTGGGATTTATTTTCATTAGCAATTTTCACTTTGTTTCATTTCTTATCAATCTGTTACGTGTAAATACATTTTTTTGAAAATTCCGATTAAAATTTTTGATTTATTACAGATTTGTTTTGGTATTTAAATTTACCATTTAGCATAATATTCATATTATTATTACTGTTTTTCTCATTGAATTATCTTGTACATTTATTCTGTAATATATCACGTGTTTGAATTTTTCGTTATGAATATTTATATCAAACTATTTTAATATTTCTATTCATACGTTTAAAAATAGTGCATATGAGTTTAAAGGAAAGTTTTACACTTTCAAATTAAAGTGTGGCTTTTGCTACGAATTGTCGTAATGTTTTGGAATAAGGTATTGGTAAGAAAATGTAAGAACCGTAAAAAGATCGTACAGGATGCTGTGCATGGGTTTGTTAGCATAATCGATAGATCGGTTAAATATGTGTGCATCGATTTGATGAGCGTCCGTGTTTGCGGAAATGATTTTGTCTGGAAAATCTTGTAAATGATAAAAAACCAAATTAGTTTTGATATATGACCAATTATAGTAAGAACAATTTCGATGTGAAAGCACTGGTTTGACAGGTATAATAAACAATTCAACTAGGTATGACAAGCTTAGATCGCTTGCACCAAAGTTGATAAAGGGACAACTTTTTATGCTGCGTAAGCAAACGTGTTAGAGAAATTATTTGTTTAATTTAGTTAATCCTTCTAAGTGGAAACCATCTCACATTCGCGTACACGTATATGTCCCGTGTTTGTTGCTAATAAAATATTAATATAAGATTCAGAACACGAATTATTATGATAATTCATTAGTGAGATTGTCTTGTTTTATTCTCCGTGTTAAAAAGTAGCAATAATGTCAAATTTATAATCCGTTATATTTGCTGCAGAGATCTCCTAAACTTTATGGTTTTGAATAATCAGCGCGTTCCTAGATATCGAATTAGATGACGTTTTCGTCAAATAATGTTAAAGAATCAGTTTAAAATCTAACTTTAATTTAAAATCATTATAATTGATGATGCATAAATCATACTTTTACACCCATATCTTCAGCTGATTCTGAATTATTTAACTATTTCTTCTACTTTCAGCTCGGCGTCATCCTCCGATAAACATCGATTTCTATGTATAATTTAATAATGAGTTATGGATATAGTATTTATTTATTTTAAGAAAGTTTTAACAAAATAAGACCTGGGTGTGAGTAACTTTTCCACTTATTCTCTTATACAATTCAACTGTTTTGCCATTGAATACGTTGAACATTTCAATACTTCGCAAGACAATTCACGCCCGTTAATGTTTACACCGTTTAATTAAGCATTAAGGTTTAAAATGATTTATGATTTAAAATGATTTACGTTTAAAATAAGAAAGAACTAAAATACGTATTAAAATAAATAATGGTTATCGTTAATGTAAACTTGTAAAGATTATTTAAAAATTGCCAAAATGAATTTCAAGTAATAATTACTTAGTAATTTGAAATTTGTTTTTTGTTACTTTTAAATTTTTAATTAATTTGTTACTCAAAAGTCAACAAAATCAAAACAAAATAAACAATTATTTTTTAAATTTAAATTTTTTTAAGGTACAATCCTTTTAACAAAATTGCTGGTGGTGGCAAAAAATCGGCTATTTCAAAAACAGTTTGTGATTTTTAATTTTTAAAAGATTTGAAACTGATCTTATTTAAATTTTACAGTATCAAAAATCAAATCAAATGCCTTGGCTTGGCAAAAAATCATTGCTGAAAAAATAGTTTAATGTTTAATTTAAATTAAAATAAAATAGTTATGAATAAGCTATATCAAACTTTTAAATAAACAAGATAAAACATTGTTTTTAAAATAATGATGTAGTTGTAAAACATTTGTAATCATTCAAACAAAATTAATTCATTTTTAGTCTGAAAGAGAGTTTGAGCGAGAAATAAGAAAAATTGAAAAGTTTGGTTCTTTTGTTTTTTACAATACTATTGGATGTCTTTTTTTAATATGTTTTGTGCTTTATTATAATCATAATGTAACTTTTTAATAAATGTCATGAATTTAAATTTTTTTTACTTTTTTGACACTTGCTTTAAAATGGAAATTAATTTGTCAGAGCTTTCCTTATGCATATTTCATGATCAATCATTATTAGAATAATTTTGCATATTGTTAATTTATATAAATGTGGGTTGCTGCATTAAGTTTTTCTATTATTCAGTTGCTCCCTCTGAATAATTGTGGTCAATAAATAAGTCCACTAGCTTAACTCTGGCACTTATCTAGCACACTATTCTCTTTTTATCATAAAATTTTATTTGGATTTATTTGACAATGAATATTTATGAATTTTTGCAAATGGATGACTCTTTGTCTAAAAAATTGTTTTTGTACATGTTAAACTTACCAAGTCATTATAACAACAGTTTGAGTATTGAGGAGATGCATCCATTTCATAATTTACTTTAATAACACTTACATCATGAATGAAGTTTGCAGGAGAGCTCCAACAAGATCCAGGACAGCATGAAGAGGTGCATTAAGTCTCAAGCAGGTCTAACAGCACTTGATCATTTAAAATGTTCTTATATATTCTCCATTTTGGATAATCTAAATATTATTTCAGCTCAAGCAAAATGTGAGGTTGACATGGTGAATAATTTACAAAACAGCTCTCTCTACAAGGAAGATGAAACATTCAAGAACTTGATTGATTTGTGGGCCCAGGCTGCTAGACAAATGGATGTTCAAACAAATGAGCTTGTTAGATTTTTATTGCTATTTTTTAGTGAATAATTTTATTACATTGATTTTTTTTTAATTTGTAGAATTCCATTTCTAACAAAGTTGTGGTTGAGCCGATGAAAAAGTAATTAATTTCTTAAGTTTTTTTCTGAATGGTGTGTTAACAATTACTACTTGAAAACATGATTATAAGTTTATTTTGCTGTTGAAGTCTAACTTGGTTATGTTTTTGAGAATGGTTTTAAATAAAATTCTCAAATTATGTCTTAACAATTCGTGTCAATTTTCTGAAAAATATAGGTTCAGCACGATATTTCCTTCACTGCAAATGGCCATGAGGAAAAGAGAGCAATCATTGCAGGTCAATTAATTTTCTATAATTCATATACCTAATTACACGTTGTTCAAATTATTTAAATGGAGAAGTTAAAAATTATTCTGATTTAGATGCTAACACTTTTAAAAACTGTTAAGGTGTGCATGTGTTATTTATTCATTCTAAGTTTTGTTCATAATGCTGACTATCATTATAATGTTTTCAACATTTGGAGGGCTCTATTCTTGATTTTTATTATTTCACTTATTAACTGCTAAATTTAATGATGATTTTAGGAGTTCACAAAATGCCAAGAAAAAGTCGAGAAGTACCTGAAAAGAGAAAGAACTGGGCCCAATGCTGTAAAATTGGAAAATGTAAGTTTCATATTTTAAAATTATCATCTACCATTACTTACTGATGTTCAAATTTTGATGAAATGATGATTAAGTTTGTAAAGCTGAAAGCATTATTTTACACTGTCTCCAGTTTATTTTATAAAACTTATTTTTTATTTATTTGCACATTCATCAAAACCTGTATTCTTTTTTTGTATACTTATTGCCTAATTTCCAGTAAATATCTTTAAACATGTTGATGGTGTCATAATTTGGTATATTTAAAATCACGCTCAACTGATCCAAAACTATCATGGAAAGTAAGATTGAAACACAATTTTTCAGCTATAGAAAAATTTTGTAAGGTCTCTAAATATGCATGGGATGAAAATTTAAGTAACACCAGATATGTATTTTTATTTGATATGGAAACAATAAAATAATGAAACGTTTTATTTGTATCAGATGTTTTAGAGTATTTTATACATTAATAAATTATTATGATACATAAATTCAAAAAACTTGTTAAGTTTAAATCAAACTATTTGATTTAGAGTCGTAAATCTTGCGCTATTGCTAAGGCAGAGTTTGATCATCTGAACAGTTTGCTGATGGATGAGGTGCCGAAGCTGTACGAAGGTTTGGACGATAATTTTTTGTGTGTTTTTCAGTCTTTTTGTAATATTAAATGTAGCAATAACAAAAATTAACTGTTCACGATTGAAACTAAGGTTATTGAGTTTAAAATTGAATTTTGTTGAGGACCCGTTAACCTGTTACGTTCTTTCTGCTTGATGTGTTGGGTTAAATACAATGGTTACAAGTTTAATTTCTAAAATATAATGGCAAACTGTTTTTAATTTGCAGGTAGAATTGCCTACTTTCAACCATCCTTGCAGGCGCTGGTTAATGCCCAAGTGAATTAAACAATTGTTTCTTTTTTTATTTTACCAGAGAATGTTTATGAGTCAGTTTGTGGATGAACTAAAAACGTTTTGAATGAATGTCTATTGCGTTGTCTGCTTCTGCTAGTTTTTGAATGAAAATTTGATTGTGTCAATTTTAAAAATTTTGGAATAATTAAAGATTTTGTCAGATGTCTATTTTTTTATTATTTTTGACTAAAATATCATGAAATGTTTTGTTATTGAACCATAGACGACGTACTACAACGAGGCAGAGGTCATTTATTCCCAACTTTGCAAGCAGTTGAAGGAAGGCTACCGAACAGATAAAAAAGAAGACGAAGATGCTGATGGTGGTTTCAGTCTAGATCCCGACGAATTAAAGCTTACAATTCAACAGAAGCTGTCCGAGATTCGATCGTTATCAATTGCTGTTGATGACCAAATTAAATGACATTACCATTTTTTAATTTATTTTTCATTTAAAAATTTCGATTTTATAAATCAAAAGTTTTCTATTTTTAAATCCCAAAGTCTTTTCAAGTAATAGTAAAGTTGATTATAGTTTTGATTTCTTAAGGAGCTCTTTCAGTAAAAAATGAACTATTGCTACACTGTAGGCACTCTTGTCATTTTATTCGGGAGTATTCTACGTTTTTCTAAATATTGTTGATGGTGAAGTGTTATACAATTATTCCTGTAAAATATTAAATTTATTTTATTTCGGTATTTTAATTTTTCTACAGCAACGTTACAGAACTGCAACTTAGCATTTAATCGGTTTGTTACTAGTTGGATGTTCAAGTTTTACTTAAATGTCTCTAAATGTTCGTCAAATGTTTTTTGTCTGGTTGGATTACATAATATTACATTCGAAATATCTGTTAGATCCAAAATGTGTAAGAAAACAAGTTAATTATACCTTTAAAATTTGGCTAGAGTCGATGGTATGTAGCTATTGGTGTAACAGTTGTGTTCGGCTTTTTCAATCAATCAATCAATCAATTAGCTTATAAAGCGCTATTTCCGCGATGTTCAACAGCGCTCCTCAATGAATTTTGAAAACAGATGGGTCTTGAGATCTGCTCTGAACTTCGCAAGTGATGGAGAAGTAGTCAGAGAAGTAGGTAGGGAGTTCCAGAGAAAAGGACCAGAAAAAGCAAAAGCAGATTTGGCAAAAGAGTGTTTAACACGAGTTAAGAAAAAGCGAGAAGAAGAAGACGATCGTAAACCGGGGCGTTTAGGTTCAATTAATATATCTGATAAATACTTAGGAAATAATTTAGATTGAGACAAATTTTAAAAATTATTCTATATTTTATAGGTAGCCAGTGCAAGAAAACAAGATATGGAGATATATGAGAAAAGAAAGGGGCACGAGCAACTAGACGAGCAGCAGAGTTAAAAGCTTTACTTAAAGGATAGAGTATAGAGTCAGGAAGACCATAGTAGAGCGAGTTACAATGATCAATCCTAGATAAGACTAACGAAGTAACAAGAAGGAGAAGAGTAGGATCATCAAGGAAAGACAAAAGTTTTTTTATTCTACGTAGATGAAAGTAAGAGCTTCTAGCAACACTATTAATCTGAGAAGAGGGAGACATAGTAGAATCAAAGAAAAAACCTAGACTACGAAACTTATGAGAGACATCAAGAGTTTTAGAATCAGGTAAGATAATAGGAGGAATAGTAATAGAGTGTTTAGATTTATTAAAACAAATTAATTCAAACTTAGAAGGATTAAGTTTAAGACACATAGAGTCAGACCAAGCGATAATTGAAGAAAGACATAGAGATAAATTATGAAGAACAATATGGAGATTAGATGGAGGAAAAGATGTATAAATGTAAGAATCATCAGCATATAGTTGACTAGAGAAAGAAAAGTTATTAATAATACGAGGTAGTTCAGAAGTATAGAGTATAAATAGAAGAGGGCCAAGGATAGAACCCTGAGGTACCCCGAAAGTAAGAGTAGAGGAGTTTGAAGTAGAATTATTGAGAACAACAAAAGAAAAACGATTACAGAGATAAGAAGAAAACCAAGATAGACAAGAATCAGTAATATTAAAAGAAAGATGCAGCAGTCTCAAGAGAATAGTATGGTCAACAGTATCAAAAGCTGAGGAAAAGTCAAGAGCAAGAAGAAGAGTAAGATTACTATTGTCACTAGAGAGAAGGATATCATTGTGTATTTTAAGTAAAGAAGTTTCAGTACTGTGAGCAGGTCTGAAACCAGATTGAGATACAGGTAGCAAAGAGTTAAAGTCTAAATAGGATGACAGTTGATTAAAAACAACTTTTTCTATTATTTTAGAGATGAAAGTAATATTAGTTACAGGTCTATAATTAGATAAAGAGGTAGGATCTAGGGATGAGTTTTTATTCCTGGCAAAAAGCACTTGCGAAATTTCTCTCGGAATATTCCACTTGTCTTCGTATATTTTTGAGTTGACACTGAATTTTAAATTTTTGCATCATGTTTTATATTAATCTTGTAATCTTGTCTGAGAATCAAATAAATTTTCAATAAGAACGTTTATGCGACCTAAATTAGAATATTGCATACAGGCATGGAGTCCTCACTGGCAAAAAGACAAAGAAGTGTTGGAAAAAGTTCAAAGACAGGAAACCCGGATGATTAACAACTGTGAAAAATTTTTATATGGGAAAAGATTGAAAAGATGTGGACTGACAACTTTGGACAAACGTAGGGCTAGAGGAGAACTTATTCAGGCATACAAAACCATAACGGGTAAAGATGAGATAGACTCATTCCTATTCTTCCAATTTTCAAAAAATAGAAACGCAAGAGAACACCAGTACAAGCTTTACAAAGAAAGTGTGGGAGCAATAAAAGAAAGATCTTTCAGTTCGAGAGTTGTTGAACATTGGAATAAGCTGGACGAAAAAACTGTAACAGCTCCTACAACACAGGAATTCAAAGTCAGACTTTGAAGATTGGGATTTTATATCTATATTATTATTCAAAATCGATCCAGTGGTTTCACACAGTGTGAGAACACACACACACTACTAATATATTATATACATACATGTATGCATATAGTATATGTATAAATATGGGCATATACATTTTATTTGATGGAGAATTGCTGCGTGGCTGTCATCTACATTGTATTGCAAAGAGTGCACACGAAGTAGTGTACGCACATGTACACTACCTGCAACTCCCACATCAAACGAATTCCTTTTAATGCTCATCCTGCGTAAACGTTCACAGTGCGATGGTTATTTTAGGAATCGCTCCAGACAATGTTGTTTCATGTATACCTTTTGTTTTATACTGAATTATTTTTTATTCTTAAACGATGACACATAAATTTATTTGAATCCGATGGTTACATTGAAAAAATTAAATGAGCAATGAATGAGACAGTACTTGCTGTGCTAATCAAGATTTTTGGAAGATTTATCATTTTTTGCTAGTAATTTAGCAACCATTTTGATGAGTTTTGTAAAGTAAACCTGACTAACCACATCTAATTACTAACCGCTGAGTAGATGAATATTTGATCGAAAAATTGTATCCGGGTTTAAATTAAAAATAAATTGTAATGTAGATACACAGCATGGAGGTACAATGTACGTATTTACGTGTGAGAATATTAGTTGTTAAATGTATTTACATAATCAAATGTATCATAGCTTCCTGTTTTATCTGGACACTGAATTTACTGACGTAGGTAAATTTCAGTTTAAAAAAACCTTTCTCTACTCTTTGTTACTTTTGATTGGTTGCTTAGAATTAGATGAAAGCTTTGAAAATTTTTATTTGACGGAAGATTTTCACAAGTTTCAACTTATTTGTTTTTCTGCAGTCAGAGTAGAAAAAACGCGCGCACACACACACAATCAAACACACACACCGCACGCACATACACATACAATACTACATCCCACAGACTCTCAAGCAAACACACAAACACGAACAAACAGACAAACACATAAATGAATTTAAAAATCACATTGAAAATATGATTATTATTATCAATGTTTTGCTTAACTCTTGTTTCATGTGTATCTCACATGAATTATTTTTTACAACAGATAGCGATTTTGAAAATCTTAAATTGTTTTTAGTGCTTAATAACATTTTTGATTGAATAATGATAATATATATGGCGTAGACAGAATTTTTATGTGTGATGCTGTCCGTAATTTTTAAAAAATGTAACGAAGATAAAATTGGGTTTTTAAAATATTCAGTATATATGAATGTCGGAAAATGGTTGGAATCACAATCTGGTAATGTCTCAACAGCCTTTTTGATCTTCAAATTAACAATTTTCTTAACCAATGTGTCACTGAAGTTTCAGATTTATCAAAACTTGTTAATTTGGTTTACGTAGAGAAATAATGCAAAAGATTGTTACCATTTCTTTCATGATTTAACAGTTAATAATATAATCTAAGAAAATTTTAAGATTTGTTTTCATCTAAAGACGCTCAACCTTAATTATATATATTCATATATTGACATTTATATATATTTATTAACGTACATATTGTGTAGTATAGGTTTAGCAATATTCAAAGTGCATATTTTTAAGATGTATATAAATATCACACACACCCATATATGTATGTATATATATATATATTTATTTATTTTATATATATATATATATATATATTTATTTATTTTTTTTATTTTTTTTTTATTTTTTATTTTTTTTATTTATTTATTTTTTATTTATTTATTTTGAAGGATGACCAAAAAAGATAAACTTGTGATAAGAAATTCTTGTTCTAGTAAATATTAAATGTAAATAAATGCTGTTCAAGAAAAGGTGACTATGATACATACAAACAAAAACACTCCCAACATACACCTGACACACACACTCACCCACGCACACACACATACATACATACAAAATATGATTGCCTTTTTGATATCAAGTTAAAAAAAAGTATTTTGCATATTATACATATATATAAAGAGAGAGAGAAAGGAAAAAATTGTATTTCTTATATATGGCGCGAGAAGCAGAAAGGCAGACAGGCAGGCGGGCTTGTGTGAGGAGGAGGAGGAGGAGGAGAAGACAGACAGAAGATATTAGGCATCGGTTAGCTTGTTGTACATAACAGTACATACATGTCGTTCAAGCAACATCCCTCCTAGCTTGTACATTTATCGATAGTTCCGTGTACGCTCGCTAACGTGTACAAGCAGTTTTCCACTATATAAAAATGTCTCTGTAAGCGAAAATTGTTGAAAATCGTCCAAACAACGACCAGCATATTTTGCGAATTTTTAGAAAATGAATTATTTTTATGTTTTAGAATGATCATAAGTGTATTTCGTAATTATGCAATTATTTAATGGTTAAAAGTTCAACTGTTGTAATGAAAGCACAACAGGTTTTGTTATTATTGTTGAAAGACCGTTCACGCGCACATACACACACATAAATGTGTGTATATATTATATATTATATATATATATATATTATATAGTGTGAGTACGCTTTTAAATTGATTATGTTCATATTTGTATAAAAATGAATGCATAAAATATTTTTTTCCTAGATAAGTTTGACTGAAATTTGACTTGACGTTTTATAACTGAAATACAACGAAGTGTGGTGGTTGGAGATTTATCATTTTCAAAATATCTGGTAAACAATTGATGGAAATACTGTAAAGAAGCGGAATTGTCCCAGTGAATAATTGTTCTAGAAAGACATGCTGACCTCATCGAGCACTTCCAACAGCAAAGGACCCTTCATGCCTTCCATGCCCGATTTGACGCATCTAACGCAGGAGGAGAGATTAATCATCGAATCAGTCATCAACCGCCAAAAGGAAGAAGAAGAAAGAGAACAGGCCGCTCTCAGGTGAGATTTTTGTTGTGTGCGTGTGAAGTCCTTAACATTTTTCAAAAATAAATATTTCGCATGCAAATGTTGCTTCATCATTCTTTCATCATTCTTTTAATTTTACTAGTTCTTGATATCTTAATTTTCTTTATCTTTACGATCTCTTTCTCTGTTCTTGAAAATACTACTTCTCCCTCTGCCTACTCATACTTTTATGCTACCTCAAAGATCCATGGATCTCTCTTTTATACTTCATATTTCTGAACTACCTCCTATCATTAACAATTATTTTTTAATAGTCAACACGGGTTATTAAACGTTGCTATCTAATCAAACTAACTAAGCCTCACGTAACTGTACGACGTTACAAATATATAAATATTTTTTTAATTATTTTGAAATACGAATTAATGAATAAAACCATTTTATTTTGTTTCATTGAATAAACAGATCATTGCAGTCGGATGCCAAGCGACACGACGCCATTCTAAAAAGTCAAGAATTTCAAGAAACGAGTCAAAACTTTCAACACCTACAACAACAACAACAACAACAATATCAACAACAATCACAACCTCTTCAACAGCAACAACAACCTCTTCAACAGCTACCACAACATCAGCAGCAGCAACAACAGCAGCTCATCAATCATCAGCAATTTTTTCCTTTACAACATAATGATCCGTCCCAAGTGTCGACCAAACAAATTCACTCCACTCAACAACAAATTCACTCCACCCAACAACAAATTCCATTGCAACAACAACAAATGCCATTACAGCAGCAACATCAACAACAAATTCATTCCACACAGCAGCACATCCCATTGCAACAACAACAACAAATTCCTTTGCAACAACCACAAATTCCATTGCAACAACCACCACAAATTTCACTACAACAGCAACAACGTTCCCAACAAAACCCAGTTTTGTCTCTCTTATCTCAATCCCAGGAAATGGCGGACACAAATGTTTGTAGGCTGTGCAACAAAACCAAGTTCGCCGACGGATCCGGTCATCATTGTTATTATTGCAGTCTCAAATCTTGTGCAAAATGTGGTTTCAGTTTGAACTTACTGCCAAATAAAGTAAATAAATAATAAACACATAAATGTTATGATTTTTTAAATCTTTCTTGCTGTTCTTGCATGATTTTTAAGGATTCTACGTAAGATAACCCTACAAAGCATTTCACGTTGAAGCAACCCATCTGGCTGTTGCCTTATTATTTGTTCGTTGCAACATTTTATTTTTTCAACGCAGACATGTGCTATCCAAAAATGATTAACTAATTAATTGAATCGATGAATGAATGAATGAATGAGTGAGTGAGTGAGTGAGTGAGTGAATGAATGAGTGAGTGAATGAATGAATGAATGAATGAATGAGTAAGTGAATGAATGAATGAATAAATGAGTGAACGAAAGAATGAATAAACGGTTAAACATGTGAACGTTTGAAAATACGAACGAACGAATTAATAAATGAATGAACGTTAACAGATCCTTTACATCATTGTTTACTTGTACGTCAGCTCTGTCTATTCGAGATTCTTAATTTTATTACATGTCTTTATATTGTTCGTTGTTATATCCACAGACATTAAGATATTAAATAAATTGTACACGAAATTAAGCATTAGCATAATATTTTTAATCGTGCAACCAATGATCAACAAATTGAAGATGCTACAAAATGTTCTTCGTTAAATCTGCTCTGTCTCTACGGCATCTCTTGCTTTCGTGCTGGCCTCTCTGGAACGTCTGTAATGTTGAATGGATGAAATAGACAAAATATTTGACCAACTTTGCCGATTTTTCATGATTGTGTCGATTCCTTGATTTCTGAATTGTATTCGAATTTAAACGTTGCTATTTTCGAATTATAAATAGGATGTAGCTCTTATTAATTTCTTTTTGTATGGCTAAAAATTGAAAACCATAATTTTTAAAATTATTTTGTTTCTGTGCGATGACTTATTGTTTGCATCATCTAATATTTAATGAGAAATTTTTATAAATTTTCTATACTATTAAAATTTTGACGATAAACTTTAAAAAATTTTCATCCAGATAATATGGTGCTGTTTGAACTGCAAAAACATCTTTGATCAGAGCAGTGAATCACAATTTTCTTTGCCAACCAATGCTCAACAGAATAAAACAATGGGATCATTACATTTTACGCCCAACCAACAAAATCAAATGTCTCTCAACGAACGTCAGCAATATGAATTTCAGCTTAAACAGCAACAACAAATGAAATCGCCTACTTTTCAAACATATGTGATTCAAAATTTTTCTCAGCAGCCGCCATTTTTAGATAACAAACAACAAACCATGCTGCAACCTGCATCACTCTCCAACACCGCTCAAAATTTTCAGCCGAATGTGTGTCAGCAATCGTTTTCAAACCAAACCGCCAACCAAACCATGAACCAATTTGGCTCTTCTTTTGCACAACGCAATGCACCAAACCAAACTCCTAACCAGCTAATTCACAACCAAATCACTAACAAGGTTGATTTTACGACGGGAGTTAGCGGCAACCACCCAGCATTAATCACGTCACATGCACCTCCTAATTTTCAGTCAAGTTCAACAAGTCACATGACTTCTTCATACATGAATGCAGTGGTCAACCAAAACTCATTCAATCAAAACCAGTTTACAGGTATGAAGTTGATTGCTCTAATAAAATTTATTGATTGCTTCAATTTTCATTTTTTAATGAATTATTTAACAGTGTTTTTTGGCATATAAAACACAAAACTATCTGTTAAAACAAACTAACTAAAGTATTATGTCAGCTGGCGAGTTAACTTTGCGACCAAAAAATTGAAATACATAGTTGAAACCACTTGTGACAATTTCATTATTTTCACCAATAAAACATTTTCAGCCGCATTGCTTTTTACAATTTTCCAAAAACTTATAATGATTTGATCATTCACGTGATAACTGAAGACGATGCAACTTTTTGAGTGTTATCACATTGACAATCTGATAATTAAGTGCTAACAATTATATAATAGAGAAAAATAATATAATTAGGTATTTAATCAATAGTAGTTATAAATTAATACATGCGTTTCATCTATTCTATTAAAAACTACTTAAAGGTCCCGCGCAGGCCCTGGTTGGGAACAACGCACAGGACAACGCAAACGCCCAATTTGTAAATGACATTAGTATCATTCGTTCATTCAGTGTTTGCTTCAAATTTTTGACCTATTTAAATAAATTTATTAATCATCCTCTTCACTCGTCAAAATTTTATTAATTTGTTCACAGATGGCTACAAACATGCAAACTCTAAACTCTTCTTTCATGAAAGATGAAAGGTTATTACTGTTATCTCAGCAACTTTTGTTATGTCGGTTACCATTATTTTAAATTAGCATTATTTTATAAAAAATATTTTTAAATGCTCAAAGACAAACAATTTTTTAATATAACTATACATAACCAGTAGCAGATCCAGAAATATTCAGTTGGTGGAGAAATATTTCGAATATTTTAGACTTAATTTCATTTATTTTCTTTTTTGGTAAAACTAAAAAACAGTTTAATGACTTTCGTTCAAGCGGGCTTTGTATTTTTTAACGAAAATTTTGACAACTCTTGTATTCAAAGGATTTTATTATGTTTTAAACCGCATTTTCGCGTCCCACTTAGATGCATCACTAATTCAAATTTTTTCAATAATATAACAAAAATATTTAATCTCATCATTTAGTTTTTCAAATAATAATATATTATAATATATTGTCTGATTTAGAATGAAAAGTGATGGGAACACAGCAATGCCAATGAGCACGTACATGTCGGGACCATATGAACAGCAAGGAATGCAACCAACCGGTCCAATATTCAACCGTGATTATGCTGATAACAACTTCAACGTGGAGCAAAGACACTTGAGAGACGAACGTTACCCTTCTCGAATGCCTCCATCATCTCCAACATTTGGCCAGCGACCCGATCGGCTGATGAGATTCGACGCAAGTAATGGCAAGGGGAGGAGACTGCCAATAATTTCAAATCATCGGAAAGATATGAAATTTCACGATCTGAACTACGACATGGCCACCTACAACGACAATCAAAAATTTCATATGAGCGGCAGATCGAGCAGAGGTGTCAACAAAATGAGCAAACGACAGCCCTCGATAAGTAGTTCAGATGACGGCGGACAGAGCACACCGGAGGGAACTAGTGGCGAGGAGGTTGAGAGCGGTAGTATCAGCGAACAAGGATTGCAAGGCTTTCATCATGGTCAGTCTGCCAATTTGCCTTTAAATTTTAATAATGCATCAACGGTTTTTACCAAACATATAAGAAAATTCAAACAAGTGCCAAACATCGAATTAAAAGAGAAAATTAAAAATTCTTGTTAAAATTTTATAACTGGTATTAAATAAATGAACGACTGAAATTCACGTAACAGATTAATTTAAAAATGGATTCATAATCAACAATTTCAGATGAATCTTGGAGGAGCAATTCAATGCTGGTTGATAAAATCAACAAATACCTGGCTCCAGTAAGTCGTTTCACTATTCCAAGCTTTCGTGTATTTTCATTAATACAGATGAATTTAATTTTTTATTTAATTTTTTATAATTATTCATGTAATTAGCATTGAAGATATTTTCTCAAACTTACAAATAAAAAATTGTTAGTCGAGACCAACAAGATGGACGCTATCGGATGATATGAAGTACAAAATTGGTCACATGGTCCTTAAAAAACCAAACGGAAAGGAAAATGGGGAGTTAGGTTGGAATTGCGATCATTGTAAATTATCAATTTTCGTTAATCAGCTAAAAAATAAAATAAACTTTCAAAGTAGTTCAGTTAGAATTTCTTCTTAAACCTGATTGAAGGCTTGAAGGTGACGGGAGGAAAGCAGACGTCAACAGGCGTCTTGGGAGCGTTCATCACAAAAGTTAAGAAGGACAGCATTGCTGACGTCATTGGCAAGCTTAAAGCGGGTGTGTTTAGTTTCTATAATTATAAAGTTGCGTTAAAAACATTTGAATCAACATTGTGAGTAGCGGATTTTTTCATGAATTAACGGATTCTATCAAATAAAAATCTTTACCCCACAAAAACACCGAATTGATAAAAGTTTTGTATATTGTAACATCGATGTTGACTAATTATTTTTATGAAACTTGTAGAACATTGAAAATTTTAATAAAATTAAAGTTAAAAATTTTATACAATATAATATCAGTAAAAATTTTGTGGTAAAATTTTTAATTTAATTTTCGAATAGAATAGAAATTCTGAAGTCACTATGAATCTGTTAGATCGAAAGTTAAAAAAAATCTTTTTACAACACGTTTCAAATTTTGATCGTTTCTGTAGACGATTGCGAAATAATGAAATTATTGAACATTGTTTAAAACTTTTCAACTATTTTCAAACCATCGCTTTCATACGCCTCTTTATTTTGCTAAATAAATTTTACTTTGAATCTAACCAGCTTTCAAATTTAACAAATAAAAATTCTTTAAGGAGATGAGGTTGTGATGTGGAACGGGAAAAGTTTGCGAGGACTTACGTTTGAAGAGGTGTATGATGTTATATTTGAATCGAAGATGGATACAGATGTGGAACTAATCGTTCATAGGCTCATTGGACCAAGGTCCCTGAATAAGGCCAAAAATATAGAAGACCTTGAAGTCGGTTCGTGTTGAACAAACAGATTGAAATATTTCTTCTTGCTTACAAATATTTTAACAAGTGCTGTTCAAACAAATATTCACACATAAATGTTAATAATTTCTTTTATAAATTGTATTTTGCGTAGCTAAAAATGAATCCAACTGTTTTTTTATTATATATTTGTCCTTATGAAATATTTAACCAGTTCATTAAAAGTTGTGAAAATAAATTTTGGGATCTGATACCCTCTTGTTCTAGATCAATGATAAACACGAAGAGACATAAACACAGACACGTACGTATATATAATTTGATGCAGACCGATATGTTGCCCCTCTTGCCATCCAGCCTAGCGTCACAGTTACCTCGCCAGGCTCACCTGAACCAAGCCTCAAACACACACAACAGAATTACGGAGCCACGCATTCACAAAATTGCGGCCGGATACAAGTATGTTCAACCGATTTTTCATTTTTTAATCAAATTATTATTTTCATAAGCAAATTGGTTTTTTTCCTTTAAAAATATTTTCGGTTCAGTACTTTATTTCATCATTTTAACAAAATAATGTATGCGGTTTAATAAAATTCAATCAAATAAACTCTTTTCATTGTAATTGCATTTTCGAACTCCATCTGGCTTATATTTTGTATCGTGAGACCCATAAATATACCGACCTTTAACTTTCTATAAGTTGAAGATGTTCTATGTGCCAACGTTGAATCAACTAACAATAACGATAATAAACGCTGTTTCCCTTCTCCCGAGAGAAAATGGTCAACCGAGAAATCCTTACTGCAAACTTTATGTTCTTCCGGACAGGAGGTTTAAAATAATTTGTTTCATTTAAGAATTTCATTTAAAATAACTAATGATTTATGTTAGACAGACCTGAGATGGTTAAGAAGAAGCCAACAAGTAGACAAATGTATTTATTTTTATATTTATACCGTAGCGCGTCTGAAGCACTTGTTTAGAGTGGTAGACATGAAAAGCTAAATCGACAATTAACTATATTGACTTTATTAAAGCATTTCGAATTAAATGATGGTTAAATAAATGATATTTTCACTAAAATAACAGTGAGAAGAGCAAGAGACGAACAAAAACCGTTGCTGGCACTCTGGACCCATTCTGGAATCAATCGTTTCTGTACAACAGCGTGAAGAAGGCGGATCTTAAAAACCAATCGCTTCAAATTGTCGTGTACGATTACGACCGGATAGGCAGTGGAGAATATGTTGCCGAGGTATGAACGCTTCACATTTTTTTAGGGTTTTATTAATGGACGTTTTTCCATTTTTGCTTTTAATAGTTCTAAAATATAAAATTAAAAAAATTGACGGTCTTTGTTTGTATAACAAAGTATTTTCAATGTAATTGTGTAACAAGGTATTTTTAATGGAACATCATTCACTCATGTAAAACTTTCTTGTTTTAGTGCAATTTTTAAATGTTTTCTTTTTTAATTTCAACTGTATAAAAATCTTGAACAAACCTCCACATGAACGCTGACTCGAAAGAAATTATAGGTTTAGAGTAAAGTCCAAAAACTTTTTGATGTAACCAATTTAAGACGTTAATCATAATCATCTTATCTGCAATAGACCGTGGTAGACCTACACACCTGCGATTTGTCAGACGAAGCTCAATGGTTCACATTATACCGCCACGATGATGGAAGCACAAACATACAGTCCATGTTTTGGCAGGTAATATTTCGTTTTATTATTTGATCAGTTTATAGATGTTTCTTAATTACTATGGACTCGAAAAAATAAAAAATAACAGTAAATGATGTTCCTCATCATTTTTATTTACCCACTTATTTATCTCTGCAAAGTGTTCAACAAACATTTTTTTTAACCAGTATCAATTAAATTATAAAAAAACTATTTATCTATTTATCTGTAAAATTTATTTTATTTGCTTTGATTTTTTTTATTACTACAGTTTATTAATGAAACGACAAATTTTCTTTTAAAGCAAGCTCGATCGAAAACATCGACGACCGGCACCATGAACAACAAAGACCATCTATCTCCTCAAACCACAGTCAACTTAAGACTAAGTGATAGCGATGTTTCAGAAATGGATGAAAATAATGACGAACGCCGGCGAAGAGGAAATCTATTTTTAAACGGAAATTCTGCTAAAAATTCGAGAGCCAAATCGTGTTCACCATCAAGGTTATTTTTTCTGGTTATAATTCATTTCATGTTCTAATTTACATCATCGCTCCTTAGTGTAAATTTTATATTTATTTATATTCATTTCTATTTTATACTTTATTTGAATAAATCATTCAACTTATTCTCAAATTTTCAGTTCATTGAACCTGATCAAAAAGAGACAACTACCTCAAATACCGATCTATTGTTCACAATCCAGCATTGATCGAGGTTGGTCTAAAAAAAATAAAAATAATTAAAATAAATCTGTAAAAAAGTAAACTTAATATGAAAACATGAATATAATTGAAGCACATACTTACTAATTACTGCACATGCGTTACATTACAGTGACCGAAGAATTGGAAGAGAGAGCTCACCGCATGAAACTCAGCTTGAACATCAAGAGACCAGATTTATGTCTTCCGTTTTCAGATTCTGAACTTACGCACAACTCTCAATTTTGGGACAAAAAGTTACGGCATTATGGCCAGTACAAACCGCAAATACCAAACGTCACTCTTAAAAAACACATGAATGGAGGCAAAACGTTTTCTGGCGATAAAAATTTTGCTACTGGAAAGAACATTGAATATGGAACCGCAAGAAGAAAAGGATCAGCTGGAAGTGAAATTATGGGTTAATTTTATTCGATTAACTTGTTTGTATTGGCCGTATGTAGTTGGCACATTTGTTGATCAGAACGCAAAAATTAAATTAAAATTGCTACATTTGGGCTAATAAAAAAATTTCATAATAGATCGAAAATATAAGTACGACTATGACATAATGTTGTCTCCGATTGAATCTTCATGCTGGCCACAACGGAACACTCCCTCGAATGCAGAACAAAAAGCGATGGCCACTCGGGAATACAAAAAATCGTCTAAAGGTATGTTGATAAAACATTTATACAATTTTTTTTAAATTTTGACCCAACAAATTCTTCACGTTTGGTATGTTAAACGAACGAAAACTTCAAATAATGTCAGGCGAATACAACATGGACGCTGACGAAGCGGTGCAGAGTGACACATCGGAAATAAGTGACTTCTCCCTTTCCAAATACAGTATTAGGTCTGCACGGTCTGACCGACCCCCAAAACATTGGTCAGTATTAACAAACATTTTTTTAATGAGCAGATAGAATAAATTGCGTAAATCATCAGAAAATGTTAATATTTTTAAAATTTAAATAAACTGATTTTTATATAAAATAAGAAAACCGATATAATTATTGCGGAAATAAACTATATTTTTAATGATGTATGAGAGATGCATCTGAAAGCTGTGGTTATTTAGCTTATAGACGTTTGAAAATAAAAATAACAATGCAAATAAAGATTTTTTTTTCAAAAAACAGTGATTTTGACAACTTTAACACGAATCATGCGACGACTTCTAGAAACAACAAATACTCGCTCGACAAACAACAAAAACAAAACTCGAAGCAACAAAATCAGGATGAACAAGAAAACCAAATAAAGGGCAAGAAATCAACGAACGACGGTAGCATATCTGATTCGACGGTAACATTCGACAGCCGGAAGAAGCGGAGATCAAGCATCGGAGAAAAAATGGCTTCTCTCGTTGGATTTCATAAATTTCACAAATCAAATCAAAATGTAGTATCAGGTTGGTAGCTTCACATCTGCACAATTGTTTTTTCTTTGTTGCAAAACAGAGTAACAATGAAATTACAGATACATCCAGTAAAATTCATTAAAATATTTTTTATGTTGGTTTTTTAAGATGCTAATACAAAGAAAAAAGCCAAAAATTTTAATCCCCTTGACGTAAAATCAAGTGACACGTTAGTTTCAAAATTTATAATAATAATAACAATAACAATAATAGTAATAATGAATAGAGGTAGCTGTATGCTAATGTTATCTGCAGGTTTAGACTTGATTACGTAATTTCTTAAATGTTGTTTAAATTAAAACAGCATGATAGATTTTTTTAATTTTATTCCTCAAAATTTGTTGCTACAAAATCAGATGGCGATTTTCTCCGACCACAGTTAGCAACACAGGGACATCATCAAAACAAGTTTCTGGTAAATATGGTGGATTTCTAGAGGGTTTGGGTCCATCTCAACTGGTGGGCAGACAAGCCCTCGGATCTCCGTGCATGGGTGAAATTCAGTTAAGCATTGCAGACACCAAAGGTCGTTTAGAAGTTGAAGTAATTAGAGCGAGAGGCCTCACTGCTAAGATAGGATCTAAAGTATTGCCAGGTGAATAACAATTATTCAAATTAAAAAATACCATCGCGTTAGCATTATATTGATGTTATATTTCTTATGTTTGAATGAAAATGCAGCTCCTTACATCAAAGTTTATCTCATGGACGGCAAAACGCGAATTGAAAAGCAGAAAACGTCAACTGCGAGACGAACTCTCGATCCTCTCTACCAACAGCAGCTGTGCTTCGTCGAACCCCACCGTCACAGAAATCTGCATGTAAATTGTGTTTGTTGATGGTATTCTATAAAATGTAGTTTTCATTATTTTTTCGTTGAAAAATGTTCTGACAGTCTAGTTTCAAAATATTTATTGCAAAAGTACACAAGAGTTACTAACCATTCATAATAATTTTAGGTCACTGTGTGGGGCGACTACGGCCGTTCTGAAAGGAAAGTATTTATGGGAGTGGCACAAATAAAATTAGATGATCTCGATCTTTCGAGCATGGCTATTGGCTGGTACAAATTGTTCAGCAATTCATCCCTTGTTGGAACGCACACAACTCCATCGCTCTCCAACAATTAACAAAACGCCAGGCTTTAAATGTTTAGGTCGATTCTTTCAATTTCTAAAATTTATTAATTTTCCATGATCATACAACTGTTTAACTTAATCTAAAAATTCAACGGTATCTTCTCATATTTTCCAATAGTTCATTTATTTTCTTCAATTTCATTTAAAATTATTTTAAACAAGTTTGTCCCACCTGTGATTAACTTTTTTACTGTAAAAATATCTAGTTTATTTAACGATTTAAAATTAGAAAAATGTTATTGAGTAAATGTAAAAAAATATGACAATTCATTTCATCAGCTGTTTTTAAATCGCTTACAAGTAAAAATCTTTATTATAGAGCTCTTGATTAATTAGTAACGCAATATATTTACGTGTCAATTTTATCTGCTCAATCGGTTCAGAACGAGGTGTTTTTTCTAACTTGAATTGTTGTTTGTGACTATTTTCAGAAAACTGTTCCTTTATTCATTTTATTCCATTAGAAATATTATGATTTCATGTAAATAAGTATAGTTTAAGATTTCATAATTTAAGTTAATTTAAGTAATAAACTTTCTCATTCTTCCTTCTTTCATAAAATTAATTCTAATTCCCTCTAGTTAGAATGTGTTTGTGATAATATAATTTTTTAAACTTTGTAAAATAATTTGCTGTTGATTTTAAAATGTTGAAAGCGAATTAGACACAAATTTTCTGAGTTCGACAATTGCAAGAAATTTCACAATACAAAAAATATATAGACACTACATAGCTCAAACTCCGCGAGACATCGATGAAATGTTGCTAGATCAGACTTGAACTCAGTTTAAATTTTCATAAAAATCTCTAATACTCCCAAAACATTCTAATTTTGAAAATGCCAAAAGTATTGATATGAATTAAAGATAAGCTTACTCAGATTATAAAAAAATTCAGATATTATTAGTACGAGGAGCTTTCAATCATTTTTTATTGTTATAACGGCAATTACGGCTAAAAAAACTAATTTATTGAAAAAGTTTTAATTTTTTAAAGTGTTTTTGAACTTCTTCCTTCGGATAAGGCTTCAAAGCCAGACATGTGGGAATGTTTTCAGGCTGCTCAACCCACAATTTGTGGTCAATATTATTTTGCGTCAGCACAGACGACAGATCTTCAAGAGTTTTCTGATCCTGAATCTTAAAAAACGTTAGATGTCTTTTAACAGCAATGTATTCAAGCGATAAAATTATTATTCTAATAGTAATCAGAAATTCTATAAGTTTACATAATGTCAAAAATAAGCTAGAATTTTTTGCTGAAAATCTTTTTGAATTAAGGGATTTTTTTTGAAATCCTACAACCAGTCTGGTGCTGTATTGATGGATAATTCATACAATCAAGCACTGTTTTAAAATGAAATATTATTACAAGATTCAATATAAACTATTCGTATCGTTTGGTCACTTTCTTCTGTCACCATTTGCAGTTAAAGTGGTTTGTCACCATTTGCAGTTAAAGTGGTTCTAATTGCGGGTAAAGGTGGTTCTAATCACTATAAACAATTCTAAATCATTCTTTAATCTCTAACCACCTATCAAAATTCAGACTCTTGAAAGATTACAGAGTTAGGATAAGGATCGTACCTAACACCATGTAGACAAATCGTTCCAGAAAACATTTGTCCAGCTAAATAGTTAAATCATGTTTGACTAAGATTCAACATAAAAAAACACTCAAGTCCAAAAGTAAATAATTACAAGATGTATCCAAGTGAACAGTCCTTAACTTAATACAAAATCATAAAAATATGAATTTAAAAATAAGAAGTTCTATATTTTTCTTTAACAAATTTTTTTTGTTTTTATAATATTAAACATGAACCAAATTATTTAAAAATAAAAAAAACCAAATTACTTCCAGAACGATTTTGTGCATATTGTTTAGGTCCAATAAATAATTCTTAGTGTTGAGGTCCTCATAAAACAGTTTGATAACTGATGTGGAGGCATGGCATGCTTGAGCTATCAGAGCCCCAACAGGCCATTTTAATGAGTTTCTTAAATCAGATCTCACCACAATATATTGAACCAGCCTTTCAGTCATAATTCACAAAGAATTAACAGTTAACTTTATCATATGTCAAACCAGTCCTAAAAATACAAATGTAAAAAAATTGTATAACTCTCACAATTCTCAACCATTAAGGTTAAGTTTATCATACAATGATAATATAAATTATAAATGATTACATTATGATTATTATTATAGTTTCTATAGGATATCTCTTATAGATAGAGTCTAAAAATAAAAAGAAAAACATTTGCACAAAAAAATCTCTTTATAGATAAAACAAATTGTAAATTTAAAATTGTTTTTATTTATTTATAAGTTAAGCAAATAAATTTTTAAGCCATTTTACATTTTTTAAACAAGGTTTCTCTTGTTCATGCAAGTAAATTTTTAAATTATAATATTATAATAATAAATAATACAAAATTTACATTTAATTCCAAATAAAAAAATAAAAGATCTAATGAAACCAATAAAAAAATTAGTTACATTAATTAATATTAAATGAATTGAAAGTCTTCCGTGAAAAAAATTGAAAGTGAAAGCAAAGGGAAGAGTGAAAGCTGAAATTGAAGGCTGGAACTTCTGAAACTGAACTATACTACATACTACACTGTTACAAAGAGTACGAGCTAGTTTTTTAATATTTCTATTATTAATCAAAGCAAAACTTCAAAACAAATTGATTTTAATCTAATCTTATTGAAATATGATATATATTAATATAACGAACTATGCAACTTATCCTATTTTACTAATTTTATGAAGAAGATACAAACTTTGGTGAAGGTGGCTTCAATTTTATGGATAAAAGTAGAATCTATGAAACCAGAATATCGATTTCATTTTATTAAGACCATGGATATATATCCATGATTAAGACCTTCATGTAAAACAGAATGGGTAAAAATAGAGTTTAATGACGTAATCGCTTCCAGGACAACGCTTAGAGAAAAACACTTTATTATGACATCATTGCTTGTGTAACTCTATCTTAGTAAGAGCTAAAAATATGTGCAATGCAATGCTCTTTAGTGATCAGTGATCTTCAAAATCATTCGGTGAACGTTTTTATATATAGGGTGCTGGTGCTGATAAAGTGTACAAATTTTTTGAAAAACATGATGTACAAATTGTCCACTTTGATGAAAACTTCTTTCGGTGAAAATGTAAACAGCGTGTTCATTTGCATTGTTAGAAATTATGAATTATTGAATTTAAGCCTAAACGACTGAAAAAATTACGGTTCCAAAATTAAAAAACCAATGTTGGCCTGAGATAACGTTCTTGAGTAAAAATTCTGATCTAAATTTTCAACATTATCAGTTGAGAAATGAATTGCTAATTTCCTTTTTGATTCGATATACTTCGATGGTCTAAGTACATAATAATATTTTAAATCATTACGATGAAGCAGCGTTAAAAAAAAATAACAAGTTTGAGACACTGAAACCATTTTTACAAAAAAAAAGTTAAGTTTTGCTTGAAAAAATTATAGACAGCCACAGTAAAAGTGTAGTAGTAAATACAAATTAAAACAAATCTATTCAAAATTACAATTAATCTTCTTTGTTATCTGACGAAATTTTTTTTACTTTTTTAAATAGTTTAAAATGTCGTTTTTAGTCAATTTCATTAATATCAACAAAAATTGAAATAGATTTATTAGCTAGAAAAAAAATGATGAAAGATATTTTATGAAGAAAACACAAGTTTATTGGCAGGTTATTTCAGAACATCAATTGTGACAAGATCATACGCAAGTGCTTAAATTTAGGAAAAGAAAGATAAAATATGAAGCCATCCACTAAATATATTTTACAAATTGAGTCATTATTTAGGTGTTAAATATTCCCATTTGTATTTTCTTCTTTCAGATTTTTTACGTCCGCGTTCGAAGAACTGTGGTCATTTCCAAAGTAAGATTTGTTCAGAAAAATATTTGATGAAAACTGATCAAAAGGATGAGTCAC